AAATGCCCCCCCCCCCCCACTCTTAGCCAATTGACTGGGGAGTTATTCATCCTATTCCTACACTAGCATTGCTTAACTTTGCCCTTTCTGTATCCTGCCTTTCTTTCTTGACGCTGCTAATAAACCAGAATTTTGGACTCTTCCATCTTCCTTCTGCCAAACTGGTGAGATACTTAATGATCACAGATCCCCATTACCATGTCTGTCACACTATTCTTTTGAGAAGCCATTTATCATCAGCATATGGCTTACTGCTAATACTAACAACCAGCTCTTCCCCTTACCATGTTCTTGACTCTTACTAATTACTTGTTTGGTCTAGGACTTCTTTGTGCCTATTTTTACCTTTAGGGCAGGCATAGAGCGGGGTATTTTGTCATTCAGTGTCAAAGATGACGTTTCTGTTGCCCTTTCAAGAAAAGATGCCTCATCTGGCCGTGAAGTCTGAGTGCGACCCTTCCTTCTCTCAGGTCCATGGGACGAGCCCTTGCTTTTCCCACAGAGTGCTAAGTGACTGGATACAAACGTACCCTCTTGTGTACACTGCTCCCCCACCCCACCCCACCCCACCCCACCTGGGTGCTTACAGCTTATTCACTTGGAAATGACAATTTGTTAGAATAAGTTTAAGAGTGAATTTTTCATCATCATCATTCTCTTTAACAACAGCATTATTGAGATATAATTCACGTGGCATAAAATGTCTTCATTGTTTTTTGACATGAAGATTCACAGCTCCCTTTAGCTAAGGTGGTGGTGAGCGTGTGAAGTTTGATATAACATAAGCCCAGGTTATCATCTTGAACCAGAGGGCCCTCCAATACACCCTGAGGCCGACTGCAGCTGCACACTGTACCCCTCCCGTCTGTTCCACTGGCTCCCCCTTGGAACCTGCTTTACTTTCTCTACACGTTTCTGCCTTTCCCGTCAGGTCCCTCTTCTGTCTCCATGGTTTCGTGATGTCCAGTGCTCAGCCCTCCTCTCCTCATGCTACATACTCTCCCGGGGCAGTCGCACCCACTTCCTAGCTCCAGCCCCTCCATGAATACTGTTTGCATAGGAACGCTCCCCCATCAGTGACATCTCTCATTAGATACAGCTACAAGGATATCTTGAAATCTCAGGAGGGGTACTTATAGCTTGAAGAAACACTTCTCTGCCCGGGCCTTTGGTCTTCGACATGTCTATTTCACCTCCAGTGGCCAGCACCATAGTCCACTGAGCTGTCCCTCCAAAAGCCTGGAAGTCCTCATCATTAGACTTGAGGACAAAGATAGTGTCTCCCAGGTTACCACTATATCTCACAGTGTCTGACATGTAGCAGCACAGCAAATACTTGTTGAGGACATGAATTCAGTCAATCCAATACACATCCTTTCAACTCGCCCTCTTCTTTTCATGCACTGTTGGTTACTTTAGGTAAAATCACTCTGTCCCCAGGCTTACTACCAAAGTCTCCCGGACTCCAGTCCTGCTTCCCCCAAGACATTCTCCAAGCTACATTCAGTTATCTTTTTCAGTCACAGATCAGTCTTTTTGTCTCTCAACTTAAGGCCCTTTAAAATCAAATCCAAATTTCTCAGCATAACACACAGTCTATAATTCTCTTAACTTTGTACTCAGCATTCCCTCTACTTGGGAGTACAAGTCAGGTGTCACTCTAGGGACAATTCCTTGATGCCCCAAAGCGGAATTAAACACTCATCTCATGTGCTCTCCAAAGTTTCCTGTACTTCTCCTACCATCACATCTATTCTGTACTGTAACTGTCTGTATACTGGTCTGTCTCCTCAACTACACTGTAAATTTTGATGGGTGGGCCAGTGTCCTTTCCACTGTATCTCAGTGCCCTGCAGTTCCTGGCACACAGTAGGAATTCAATGAGTATCTGGTGAATAAATACATTTTCAAATATCACCAGTGACTGTGAAAGTACATAACTTTGGAATTCCATCATGGGACAGGAATTCTGAACCCAGTTGGGATCCATAAATAGGTACTAAGGGTGCATGAACACCATGAAATCGAAACCAGTGTTTTATGTGTATATACATTTTTGAGGGTAATTTTAAGACTGTCTAAAGAGTGACAATACTAAAAGTTTAAGAAATATTACTGTTGGAGCTTATTTGGTTAGAAAGGAATATTCTAAAGCATATTACACACTAAGAAAAACAAAAGGTAGATACATACATACAACACAGAGACACACACAGGGATTGATTTAATGACATCAACCCTTATGGTAAACTTTTTATTGAAAAGGGACAAGAATCAGAGGAATTAGAGGGCTGTAGGAAGACTGAAGAAAAACAGATGATGCCAGAAAAAGAATTTAGGAAGCCAGAACCGAGACAGAAAAGGAACTGTCGTTTTTACATGGGGCCCTCATGCAGCCAGGACATGAAAGGCTGGCTTCATCACGAAGGACGCCAGTGTCTGAAGATCTCTGCACAATTCTGAAAGTTGTAAACTTCAACTTGCCACCATGCTCCCAAGCTCAGGATAGTCCTGTTCTACCAATCTAGTTGTCTTTTTAGTTCTGTCCAGTGAACCCCTGTCTAGACTCTGACCTTCAACAGAAGGAGAAAAAGCAAAAGGAAGGCCATGGCCCGGGCCTGTGAGGAAGGAGGGGCAGGGAGAGGAGCCGTCAAGCACTCGCCGCTTCTCAGGTGACCGTCTTTCTCTGGCTCCCTCTCCTCTGTCTGTATTCAGAGTACAGTTTATGGGCCTCCCTATTTGCAGGAATCTTGACAGTGTATCATGTAATATGAGAAGATGCATGAAGTTCTGAAAACACAGGTAGTTTGGGAGCTGTGGGTATGTTTTATAAAATGACCATGCTTATCCTTTCCCCACCAATCAAACATTTAATGAATGAAGTGAATATGAGTATTCCCTTTTGGTAATTCCTCATATCAGCACATAACATACTACACTACCTGGTTTGCTTTAGGACATGCTAACTTTTGTATCATAAGAGGCTGTTACTAATCCACTAAGCAAGGACTAGTGCTTCCGAAGTGGAAAAGCCTTGATTTCGAGTGTTTTGACGCTACCCGGCCTACCTTCCACCCCTGCAGAGGCAACAGTGTAGCTACTGATCTTACATCCAAGGCGTCTCTGGCTGTGAAACGAGCCTTGCTCACACAGGGATGAAAACTGGACCCTGTCCTCCTTAACATCACCCTTCATCCAAAGAAAATGAAAGTCAAAGGATGGTGAATTTGGTTAAAAGGCCTAAAGAATTCATTGACTGGTTAACTAGCATCTAAATAATCAAGAATGGTCCATAACCACCTGCATAGCAATTCGGCCCCATGTCACTGAACATCAATATAGAAGAGTGTCTGTAGTGATGTACAGGGATAGAAACCTCACCAATTCATTATACATACTGATAATCCGAGTGTCTTATTTTGTTGCAGAACTCTAGTTGTATACATGAACAAAAGTGTGACTGTTCAAACAATAGTTTTTAGGAACCAAGTCTGTAAAAAATATAAGTCTTTTGAAGATTTTATATTTACCTATCCTAACTGAAATTTTGGAGAGGCCCTAACCTATCAATAAAAGATATATTCTTTTAAACCATAGTGACGACTGAGGATTGCTCTGTGTAAATTCCTGATAAGTTTACGGTGAAACTGAGTATCGGTTATTCTGCCTGGAAGTCGCAGTGAAAGGGGAGGAACAGAAGAGAAAGGGGAAAAACTGCTGATTACAAGTCCCACCGAATAGCCTACTTACTCGATGCAACAGTTAATTTTTTAAAAATTCCAGGATTCACTTAAGAGTTGTATTGGCTTTTGCCCTGTTATCTATTCTAATACACTTTTTGGCAACAAATTGTTGTTTATGATTTCTTGTGTAAGTCCTGTTACAGTCACAGATGAGGTGAACACGTCACTGAGAGCATGGGCTTTATTTTTTCCATAGCAGCGTGTGGGACCTGAAACCCTTTCCAATGCAAGTGGAGCTGTTTTGAGGAAAGGAAGGTGAGAATGGAAGAAAAAAATCTATAACCTCGTTCATGGCCTGCGCTACTTGCATCCTTGATCTTAATCCTGTCGATGCCTCCATCTTCTTTAGGTCTCCCTGCTGCAAGAGAGGCCAGGTTAGGAAGTGACTGAGCATGAGGCCAGGGTCAGTGCTGACAATGAGATGAGAGGCAGAACGAAGCCACACAGGAAATGAGTTTTTGGAGGTCCTTGTAATGAGGTATCTATAGTTTACTTTCCATTTATCCACACAGGTGTGAAATTTGCAAATCCAAACATAATACTCACCAGAGGAAGAGGCTCTAATGTCACTGATATAATGTTATTTGGTGCTCTCTACCGAAACGTGCACATTATTAAAATGTTCTTAACACTACTTCTGAGAGGAATTCTCGTGAAGTGTGGAATCGAAAGGACACATGGAGCATGATGACACAGATGGGCATCACCTGGAAAATGCGGCAGTCCACTCCAACAGATGCCCACAAGGTAGCATTCACCTTGATGAGCCTTGCAGAGTGACACCCGACCTCATTGACTGGACCCAGGAGTGCAGACTCATGCTAACAAAACTCACAAGACACTGATGTATTAAAGAAAGAAAGAAAGCGACTTTATTATTTACAGTGAATAACAGAAGAATTGGGCACACTGAACATCTGTATCAGCCCGAGTGAATTAGCTCCATGGGAAGGCAAATTGCCAGAGGGGAGCGGGGTGCACAAGCCGGCTGAGTAGTGGAGTCAGTTGCGCAGGATTCCAGTGCAGAGGGCTCTCTGCTAGGGGGTTACCCACCTGCCAGGCAGTCTCAGCCTGGCAGGTGCTATTGGTCAGACAGTGCTTAGTAAGGCATCATTACAATTACAATAGCTTTTCTTTTTTTCTGCTTTGGAGGCAGAGCAAATGCTCTTCTTATGGAGATTTTGTGTGTGTGGGTTTTTAAGATGTCAATACCCTCAATTAGTTACAGTCAAGTCTTACTGCCCAAGGAGTCTTCAAGTCTCCTAAGATCACATTGCCTCTCTTGGACTTAATCTGTGAGGTGTTAATTTCTGAGAGTATTTTTGTTTTCCTGTTTTCTGGGATCCAGAGGGGTACTGCATGGTAGACTCCACATCTGCCTACAGGTTCCACAAAGTGTTGGTCAAATTCAAATCGACTTGTATTCACTGTGCCAACTTTATGCCCACTGCTGTGCCGGGTACAAAATAATTCCCCCCAAATATAACAAGAGCGTCTAAGGAAACATATCTACTGGATGCCTACAGGCCTAGGTTCTTCTTAAGGTACATTAATTCATTCCTTTTTCTCTAGCTTTTACAGACCCTCTACTGTGTACCAGGATTTACTAGGTACAAGAAATATAAAGATTCACATGACACTGTCTTGTTCCCTTAAAGAGTTTATAATCTAGCAAAGGAACAAGGCACGTTTTTTTAGAAAGGTACAGTGCCAAGTGGTACAGAGCATGGTAGAGTGCTTTTATACCTCAGGGCCAAGACAGAAGCCATATCTTTCTGAAAATCAGATTTTAAAAAATAACTAAATCAAAATGCTCATCTTTAAAAAACTGAACAACAGTGTTCAGTATGAAGCACAAAATAAATTCCTTCCTTGCTACTTTCCCATCCCTCTCCTGCCTCTTAATGTTGCCCTCAGTAGTTTGTGAATACTCTTCCAGACCTTTTCCCTCTGTATATGAAACACACACACACAGTTCTGCATTCCCTAACACACACATACTTATATATAAACATAAATTTATATATTTATTACATCAACATGTAAAATTTATATATTACATATCCTATTCGCAATACATACATACACACGCACGCATATAACATACACACACATGTGGGATGATACTATATATAGTGTCTCATAACTTGTTCTTTTAGTTTTAATTCTTTGTTGTAAATTATAACATGTATATAGAAAAATGCACAAAATAAATATACTCAGTTTAGAAAATAGATTATCCTAGATAGCAACCTCTAGGTCAATAAACAGAAAATTCTGAGTACCCCAGAGATAGAAACCCACCACCTCCAAAACCATAATTCTGAATTTTATGTTAATAACTCCCTAGTTTTCTATAGAGTTTCACTACCTCTGAGACAAAGTTCAAATTTTCCCTGATGGGTAGACACCCTCAAGGCAAAAGTAGCTTTGGATCTCTAAGCCTCTCTGAACTCTCACTTTTCCTAGAGTTTGGCCTTTAATTCCTTATCTTTTCAGTGCTTTGTTGCTCTGAAGATTTCTTCTTATACATATTCAATAGTTTCAATTATTTTCAGTAAGAGGACTTTGTTCAGATAATCTAATTGGCCATATTTCCAGTAACAGAAATCTATGTTACTTCTCAATTTCTTTCTTCTCTTACAGTTATGTGTATAAAATTAGATTCTTATCCACTAGATCCTAACTCCCTTGGGGTAGGAGAGGCAAACATCTTTGATTTCCCATAGCACAAATATGAAATATGTGAAATATGCAGTAAGTGCAGAAGAGTAGAGTAAAGGAATAGAAAAGAGAATGAATACCTAAGGACTCCTGCCCTTGAAGAGTTTCCATTTTCTTTTTGTGAAGGAAGATAAGATGTATGTGCATGAAATAATTTGACATGAAACCACTTGAGGCAATAAAGAGAGATGTTTAAATGAAATCCCTTATATTCATCACTGACATGAAAAAATTTCCAAGATATATTATCAAGTGAAAAAGAAGTGGTAGGATGGTATCTGTGTATAAAACATGTATCTACATTTATCTTCCATGTCTGTAAATAGGTATGTCCGTATATATGTGCCCACGAACATTCCTGTTTATGCACAGAAATAAAACTCTAAAGATACATAACATTGGGTTCTTCTACAGACTAGGATTGGCAAGCCAGAGTTATCTTTTCACTTTCAAATATCCTATGTAATATTTTTACATGAAGCATATATTACTGTTACAGTCAGAGGGAAACTTTACATTATATTCAAGGGTAAACATACCTGAAAAAGGAAATCAAGAAGAAAATATAGACAGGAAGACAGAAATTACTGGGGAAGGCCTCTTAGAAAAGGTAGGACTTGAAATGGGCAGTGCAGGACTGGAAGAGTTTCAGTAAGAGAACAGGTGTGGGGAAAGGGTGTGGGTGAGTGCTTAGTTTTGAACTGATGTCAGGGAGGAAGTGAGGATGGTACCTGAAAAGGCCCATAAGGAATTCATCTGGCTGAAGTTAACAATAGTTGACGTTGAGAGATATGATTAAATGGACAAAACAGAGCCACAGCATAAAATGTGGAATGTCATCAATATTAAGAGCTTATGATTGGTTTGATGGGAAACAGAAGCCATTCCAGGTTACCGTGCAAGGTCGTAATATGAGATAGTATTAAATTCATGGAGTAGTTTGTGCAGAATGCACTCAAACATGAAAAAAACCCCCAGATATTTGTAAAGCGCCAGATCAATAATTATAGGCTTTATTAAGTAAGTTATTATATTACAATTACATTTTAGGGAGATTATGTTGGTATTCTCGTATAAAATGCATTGCAGGGGAAGAAAGGCTCAGAGCAAGGAGATTTTCTTAGCAATATAACATACTTGAAAGAGCTTGACCAGTTTTGACCATCTGAAAAATGTAGATAACTTCCTACCTCTCAGGATTGTTGTAGGGATTAATTTTACTGAAAATGCCATGGTCAAAACGCATTAGTCCATTTCTTCTCAACTGCAATTATAGTCCAGAGGTATGTTGATAAAGATCAGAAGTGATAACCTGATCATGGGAATGGAAAAGCTAAAACCAAGAGGTTTTTCTAAATAAATGATCAATAAAGATCTATTTATTAGGTGTAGGGAATGAATGAGGGAAAGATGAAGATCTCTAGGTTCCCGCAGGGGTGCTTGTGGATGGTCCTGACATCTAGAAATTGAACTACATCTGTGATCCATGTTTTCGGGAGTCATGACACTCTGACCATGTGCGTTTCACCTCCTCCATCTCTTACTCCTGACTCACAACCCTCCCCATTTGGGTATGGGGCAATCTCCTTGTATTAGTGCAAATATGGCTTAAAATATTTTAAAACAAAAGCGTATTTATATTCATTTTATTATAGAAAACTATTTTCAGGAATGCATAAAAACCTTAAAACAAGTGGAACATGCAATGTTACTATTTAATGGTTGCAGTGGGCAAAACTTAGCAATAATTTGTTAGAAATCAAAACAAACTCCACATTTGACTTTATGAAAGAAAAATTCTACATAAATAAAATGCCTGACAGATTTTTTTAAAAACTGTTTGTATCCTATTAAGGCCCAAAACATAAAATTGTGAAAACCAAGAGAGATCAACAAGAATTAATCACACAAATGATTCTCATTTACACTGTTTTAAAATTTCTTTTCTCCTAAGTGGATTCTGACTTCTGAGTTACATGTTATAATCCTGTAGTCCTAAAGCAGACTTTACAGCATTACAAAAGTCTCAGTTGGATACCCTGTTGTCTAGCTAGAGGTCAAAAGCTTGAGGGATATTACATGATAGAAAATAAAAATTCAAAAACCTTAAAAGTGACCTATCATGCTTTAGACTTCTTACTTTTCTGTAAGGGCACATCCCTGCAGAAGATGACAAAGAGTGGCAATTGTGTAACTGAGACTCCAGAACTAGCGACAGCCCGGAAAGTGACCACTGTTTTGCAATGCAGTTGGTCACCATCGTATGAAATCTTGGGAAGTACAGCGTCTTGGTTACCTGCTAGTTTCTGTGAAAGCACAACTCTGAACGCAGTCACGCAACACTGCAACGGAGCTTGAGTCTAAACTACCAACCTACATTGCTTTTTACTTACGCTTCTATTTTAAAAGAATGTTAAGAATATTTATACATACTTACAAAGGTAAAAACAAAGAGGGGAAGGTGGAGAGGGAGGGAGAGGAAGAGGAAGAGGAGAAGGAAACAGACCTTCCCGGTAACAGGGAAGGGGGAGGCAGGAGAAGATGCAGGTGAAACAAACCTGGCTGGGACCTGCTGTTCGCTGAAGGGGGGATAAGTACACAGAAGGTCAGCTTCTACTGTGCCTACTTTGTGCG